ATCTTTCGCTGCTCTGGAGCCTGACAATTTAATCACTGTCCTCCGAATCAACTGAATTCGAATTGAATACTTCCCTATTTGCACAGACCTAATATTTTGGTTGTATATCTTGGTCTTGATTCTGCAAAGAAAAATGTATGAGGTTGGGGAACTGCACTGCATGGACCTCAATGGAGGATCTGTCTCTGGACTTCTCTCTCTAAGATCAAAACCTCATGCTTCCAATGTTATTACTTAAATTACTTACATTTATACAGACCCTTCAGACCCAGAGAACCTCAAACCAAACTGAAAATTCAAAAACTTTTCTACAATATAGCATTTTGCAGCCTTAAACTGAAAGGGTGCAAACAGACGTAGCATTTCTTCTGGGAGAAAGCCTTTTGTCCTGGGATCCTATCAGTCCATTGTCCCACTTTAAGTACCTTTGAAGTGTGTGAGCTAAAATATGTTACCACTTTTCCCAAGAAAATGCTGCGTACATATAAGTTAATTACAGCGTATTCATGTTAATGACCTATCATTCCAGAGATAAGCCTGCCAGGCTGTACACTCTATTGGCCACTTACTTGCAGAGGACAAGCAACATAGCTTGGGAGTAGAAAGGGCTGTATTGCTCCTTTTTGTCCCAGGTTTTGGGTCAGATCAAGCAGGACCTCAAATGAGATGTCTGTTTATAGCCACAGATTCACTCATATAAGTGGTGCTCAACCTTTTGGCCTCAGGGACTGGATGAGTGGTGAGGTTAGTCCACAAGCTGCACTGAGCCTGCCACCCCCACCCCAGCCCTCTGTGCACCAACCAGATCCTGCTTCCAACCCCACCCCACGCATGTCAGATGATCCCACAGACAGCACCACAGAGTTGGCCTTGTTACTTTCCAAAATTGTCATTGGATCTTTAATGACTACACTTGGATGGGGCATTGCTGTTCTGTGCCTAATTATCTCCTAATATCATACCAATATTTTAGACCAATAGTGAATAAGAGGGTAGATTTCTTCTTACTTAATCATCTACATATTCTTCAGCTGTTTCTCATCTAAATATTAACTATTATTAACTATATTAACTAAACAGAAACAGCAAAAGGAAAACAGGAAACAAAAAAGCCTTTTCAGTTCTACACCACTTTTTATGCAAAAACTGTCTGAGAAAAGCACAGTGACACATTTCACAGCGCATTGTCCCAAAGAAATTAAAATTACTGAACCACAGAGCACTAGCACTCTCGCATGGGTTCAGCCAACTGAAATGTCTTTTCTCTAGAACAATCTTGCAGTACTAGACGCTGCTGTACAGGCTAATTGGTGGAGAAACTTAAGTACTTTCCTTCCTACTTTATGCTCCCTCTGAGAGCAATCACTGCCATCCTTTCAGCTAAAAATTCAAGGAAAAAAAAAAAACAAACCTTTGCTGGTTGTTACAAATTCAGTGTTTCACCTTCTTGATGTCACCAGGCCTTACTTCTGCAGGCCCATAAACTTTCCATGAAAATGGCTAGATCATCTTTCTACTCCATTATGAATATCTGGAAAGGCCAACTCAGACCCTTAAAGGTACATGCAAATATAGTTAGGAAAAAAGAAGCAACAGAATGCATCCTCATCATCATGCTTTCTTTAAAGAGAAGAAAGTATTTCACTATCACTGGTGAAACATAAGGGACTGAACCATTTTCTACTATCCCCCAAAGCACATTTGTGGGGGGAAAACATCATACATGTGACTGAAAACAATACACTCTCTAGCTCACAGTTCCAACTGCCATAACAGCAGAAGTGTCCACAACACAGCCCCTGGCAACTTCCAATGAATATACGAATTCTACTAAAACCTTGCCATAATGCAAACCTCTAACTCACAACAGGTTAACCTGCTGTGTCACAACCCTGGGCCTTTTTCGGGGCCAGCATTGGCAGTATGTAAACACAGAGGGACTCGCAGGAGTCAAACAGGACATTCTTTCCAGGATTTGCACCAACAACGATAGTCATGTAATCTATCTCCAGGAAACACACAGAGGTCATTGATCAGCAATAGGCCATTGATCCCTGGGATGAGATTAGCCATTGAAAGGCAGCATGAGAAATATGGCAGTGCTATCTTGGTAAAACCAGAGCTCGTCATCAACACAACATCGAAGACAGAACAAAACAACATAGAAATCTTAACCATCAGTATGGACAACATCTCAATAACATGTTTATAAACCTCCAGGGAAGTTTTGTGATCATCAGTGACTTTGAAGTCACAATGGGTTACAGCAAAAACTATGAGAATGGCAACATGGTTGAGATGTGGGCCAAGGCATATCACCTAAGCCTGATCCATGACTCAAAGTTACCAATTTTAAGAAAGCAGACAGGAGAGGCTTTTCTGAAGACCTTGATAAAAAAGTGACACACATTGAACTAGTGTTGGATAACTATGACTTCTTCATGAAATCACTGAGCAAAACCTCCAAGGGTTATATACCTCAAGGATGTAGAACTGAGTATATACCAGGGCTTACTCCCATACTAGCTTTACTCCCAAATACAAAAAATATCAGCAATGTTTCAAAGAGATCCTTTCTCAGAAGACACTACTGCAGCAGGGACAGCCCTATCTAACATGCTCCAAAAAGAAAGGTGACAGAAATGGAAAGAATTGATAAAAAAAATAGATATGACCCACACTGGTAGGAAAGCGTGGTAAACTATTTGCAAGCTTAGTAACAACCTGAATAAAGTATAGCAGCACCACAACAACACAGCCAGCCAGGTGGCTCACCAACTTCTGCTAAATGGTAAAGCTTCAAACAGCCTACAATATGGATTAGACAGCAAACTGATCTGGAGGAAAATCGTTTTAGTATGCCATACACAATGGATGAACTTACGCCAGAATAAGCCACTTGAAGAACGGCAAAGCAGCTGGACTCAACAACATATGCACGGAACAAATCAGACACTTTGGTTATGGGTATTTCACCTCTTTAACAATTGCTCATCACCTCTTAGAATACCTAAATCAGGTGACAGGCCTATGTAATAGCTCTATTAAAGCCAGGGAAAAATGCCTCTGGTCCAGAGAACTTTAGGCCAGTGTCACTTCCGTGCCATCTTTATAAATTTTACGAATACCTTATTCTCAGTTCACCTTTAACCTCATATTGAGCAACATCTAATACCAGAACAAACTGGATTTAGACCAGTCAAGTCCTGCACTGGCCAAATACTAAACATCATCCAGCATATAGAAGATGGATTTGAGAAACGGATGATAACCAGTGTTGTATGTACAGACCAATCGGCGGCATACAACAGTGAACCAAAATCAACTTGCTGAAGTCTACAATATGAAGCACGACTACCACCTACCAATCTCTTTTGGAAAATATACATTTTTACATAGGCCTGTGCAAGAGACAGAGCTACCAGAGATGACAATAAAATGGCATCCCACAGTAGTGTGCCAGCACTGATACTTTTATATATGACCAACCCATACAGAGTAATATGAGGAGCTTCATATATGTTGATTATCTATGTATTACAGCAAGGGAAGGACTTCACCACTGTCGAGAACAGCTGTCATGTGCACTGAACTCAGATGACTACAACAAGAAGAAGCTTTTGTGCCAACCCAACCAAGACGCAGGTCACAGCTTTTTACCTATGCCATAGAAAAGCCATATAGAAATTAAACATCACCTAGGACGAACCCCACTGACTAATCACCTGAACCCTGTATACTTGGGGGTTACATTAAACCAAACTCTTACCTTCAAAGCACATGTAGAGAAGACAAAAGGGAAAATCAGTGCCCACAACAATGTACTGAGAAAGTTGGTCACTTCAAAGTGGGGAGCAAAACCTGCTCATTATGAACCACTGCTATTGCCTTGTGTTACTCTATTGCAGAGTATACATGTCCAGTATGGGAACAATCAGCTCATGGAAAGAAAATAGACCCAGCTGTAATAAAATAACAGGATGTCTAAAAGCCAACACCAAAGGATAGCTTATACTTCCTGACTAGCATCATACCACCTTATATCAGAAGAAAGGTAGCAAGCCAAAAAGAAAGATCATGACAGATGGAAACCCCCAGGCATCTGCACTATGGTCATACAGAAGTAACTACACAAAAGAGTTTTGTAATCAGTGTTGCACCATTGAACATGGCTGAGAGGGTGTGACTGAGGTTATGGAAGGAAAGATTACATGCAATCAGGTGCTATGAAATAGATCTGGAACCCCAGGAGGACCTTCCAAGAGGGGTGGATCTACATGACCAACATGGCAATGCCTGAAATCACCTGCGCACACAAAATGGAAAATCAAAAGCAAACATGATCAAAAGGGCTAATCTAATCACATAAATATATGCAAGTGCAGTGAACTGCAGAGTCTGGGGCACATGGTCATTTGCCAACTCCTTGGCAAGACCTGTATAAAGAAGGACCTCACTGCAGCAACAGAAAGAGCCTTTGCTTGAGCACAATTCCAGAAAAACATATAGTTTTTGACAAAGGCAGGAGAACAAAATCCTCTAGCAATGGATCTTTCATTCTCAGCCTCCCTCCTCCTTTCACCAGCTCCTGCCCTGCTTTTGAAATCTGGGTCCCATTAGGACACAGAGAAAGCTCCCACAGAGCTATACAGGATGTAGACACCTGGACAGCACGCAGAGCGTGCGAGTTCTCCTGCTTCAGTCCCTCTCTCCTCCACAGCTTCAACAGAGGACTACTCCAGCTTGGATGCAAACTAAGCACTCTGGAGTTGTACAGATACAATTTCCTGCTATAAATGCCCCAGTTTGGCAAATGGTTATACAGGGGGAAAAATGTTAAACAGAAAGCATATCCCCTGCTTCCCTCATTTTTCTTGCACATTTTTAATGGAAAAAATGTGAACACTTTAAGAATATATTTTCTGTCTTTAACCTGTGTTTTTGAAACCCTAAGGGAAAGGATCTTACTGCACCCCTCAGTAATTAAAGTTATATTATGAAGCAGGCAGTAGATGACATTCACAACATTATACTGAAGAATTAACATAATTGAGACTTTAGTCAGGACACAAAAGAATAATTAATAGGCTAGAACAATATATTCTAAAATAGTCCTTTGAAGTTTATTATTAAGAAACTTTTTGTGGAAATGAAAAGAAACTTCACCTCCTTATATTTCAGGACTGATTCAAATAGGGGACTTTAGTTCAGACCCCTGCTAATTTGAAATTCCAACCCCTAAACATGACTCTTATAAGAAGCAAGAATAATATTTTATGTTTGTCTGACTATATTTTATGTCATTTTGATACTCTCCAGATGTAAATTGTGATATCTGATATTTCCCAAACACGCTAATTCTGGAGATCCCTACAAGTAAACACCAAACTGATTTTTATTTCTAATCCCATCTTCTTCCTGGCAACATTTACCCTAGCTTACAATGAAAATGGGGCCCAGTCTCACAAGATACTGCATGAAAACACTGAAGACAATAGGAGTCGAGGGCACTCGGTACCTTACAGAATCAGGTCCCAATAATCAGCATTTAGACAACCATAAAATGAGATCATTATTTTTCAGCTAAACTGAGACTGTAAAGTCATCCAAAATGAAAAGCCTATTCAAATTAAACCCATATGCTGGCCCATTGCATTGATTGAAATATAAAAGGATAAGAGTTTATTTTAAAATCTTTGTTCCAGAATTTTTGTGCATTAGATGTAGCTCCTGTGTCTACTCAGCTCAGATTCTGCATAAATTATTTTTATTTGGCAAAGGTGAAAGATTTGGTAATAAAATTAGATAACGAGTATTGATCTGCTGATTTAGGCTCCTCTACACATGCCTAATTTCATGCAGATGAGTATTCCTGTTGAAGTCAGTGGAATAACCATGGATGATCGTTAGAATTTCATCCTCCTACTTAGCCTGTAATGTGAATACTTTGTATACATGTTTCAGTTTCTAGCCAAGCTATGAGAAGCACAATTACACTTTTTTGCCCTCCTCAGAAACAAATATTTTGTTATTTAGTGAAAGAAAATAGGGTAGACAATCTCATGACTTTTTGGCAGAGGCCATCATTTTTTCCAGGGCAAGGAAAGTATTTTTATTTTCTCTGAGCTATTCTCCCCACTCCTTTTTCTCAATGATTAGAAACAAAAATGAGCAGTCTAAGCCAATTGACTCAGGTACAGTGTAAGTGTGCAGCACCCAGTAAAGTCAAATGAAGTTTAATGCAAGTGAAAGTGTCTCTCTTTCCAAGCAATAATTAAATTTACTTTTTATTCTTTAACTCTACTCTGTTGTGACAAGAAAACAAACAAAAGCCAATTGTTGTCCAGCCATTAAAATATTCTAATGTCCCAGGTATTATTCAGATATAACAGAGCAAGAAACAAAATCATCCCATAATTATGCAGTATGTTTTCAAAGAGAAATAAATTGAAATAATAAGGTTTTCCATCTGTATAGTACCTTTCTGCCAAGAGTCTCAAACTGATTTTACAAAGATAAGTTAGGAAGTTATTTTAGGGAGAATCTGACATGTAGGGCGCATCTACACATTTCCCTACAGTGCCATAGTGACGGGCTACGTAATTGCCAGTTACACCGCCACAGTAGTGCGTTCCTCAGTTATAGAGCACTACTATGGTGACATAGTGGCGAAGTCTAACCATGCACCATGCACAAGGCGAGTAACCACCCGTACTGCACCAAAAGGAAGTACTACAGCACAGCGCCACAGCAATGGTACCATACAGTGATGTGTAGACGTGCCCATAGAGAAGTGACTACAGATTCCAGTTCTCCATCCCAATTCTCTGCTGTAATGCAGCTTTCCCAATTTCTAGTGCAATGATTATTGTATTGTATACGGTAAAACACTGTTTTACTCCTAAGTTACTTTAGCACAGTGTGGTAACTTCTGAATATGTTTTTCATTTTGATCATGAGAAAACAATAGCATCTCTCTAGTCAAGCCAGCTTTTTCTGTAACCTATGTGGTAACAGTTTTGTGTAATATTTGGATGACTCATCGGATCAGTTTTCCTGAAGCAGTTTCCTTAGAAATCTGCATAAGAAAAATTTACTTGCCAAATATTCCCCCTGCTTTGCCAGATATTATGTTTCCAATTAACAATTTAAGAGAAAAAAATCTGGCACATGACACTGACCATATTGAATGGGTTCAGCCAAACTATTCTGCTAATAAATTTTCTCTTACAGTTTTGTACACTGCCACCAAGCCAACAAATCCAGACACTCATCTGAGTTTTATCAGTTTGTCTCACTGAATGTTGTCAAGACTCCATTCTTATGAATAATGCCATGAAAAAGGAAGTAAATGCAAGTGAATGAGAAGTCATATTACAGAACAAAGAAATGTGTATGACAATAATTTTCCTGAATTATAAACCTAAAAAAGACACTTACCACAGGTCTTCTAAAAATGCTCAATAATAATTAGCCCTGTGGAACACTGAATTTGCTCAGCTCCCTGGAAGATAACAGCAAATAAAGGGGTTCAGATTCTCATAGAACAAGCCCAATAAACATATTTACACACAAAAAAACTTATTGCAACCCAAAAGAACTCAACAGGAATTGGGACTATCATCATCTTTTAGTCCAGCCTAGGAGCTGTAATTTACACTTTATAAGGCTATTAAATATTATTATAATGTCAGACTCATTATCTGCTATGTTACTTTAATTGTACACCTGCATAGCACCTTTGAAATCAGTTGTGTTAGAACTTGAATAATATGGGAGTAAGGAAGCTGTCAATTCAGACCTTTTTTTCTTTCTTTGTTTCTTTTTTTTTTTTAGACTGAAGTTACAATTTTGGTAGCTGTCTTCTCCATGAGTGATGTTCTTTCCACATAGATTTAGCTAAAGTCCATCAACACTTGTTAGTTTTTTGACATAACAATTTCCTGGACTGCTTCTGCCCAAAGTTTCTTCAGTTTATATACATCATACTGAGATCTATTTTCAGAGCTGGAACCAGATCTCCATGCACTGGGCAGAAGCTGCCAGGCTGAAGCTTTCCCCTACCCCTGCCACCCAGAATGGCACAGCAGGGGCAGGAGTGGGAGGAGGAACCACTGGAGGTGAGGAGAGCGGAGCAGCACTGGGAACAGTCCCACCAAAGCTGGCTAGGGCCAGCAAGTCTGTTCTGCTCCCCTCACCTCCCGCTGCGGCTCCTACTCCTGCCGTGCCACACCACTCCAGGAGGGTTGAAGCTTCATCCCAGTAGCTTCTGCCCAGCACATAGAGATGCGGCTCCTGCTCTTGGCTTCCTTCCACGCACTCTGCCCATCTGCAGGGGCTGCTCGTTGTGGCATAAGACAAAAGTGATTCAAGAGAGTACGGAAGTCATCGCCCTGTCATTACCCCCCATCATCCCTCCCTCCCATATAAATGGGCAGCAGAGCAATTAGCCCTGGGGAAGGGTTCTATATATAATTCTCTGAATCATGGTGTACACATAAGAGCCTGATGAATCCATTTGTAGCTGACAAGCCCAATTAGAGAGTGACACAGCTTGTTACAAGTTTTACAGATCCATACATTTTTCTGAGTTGGAGTCCAAGTTTCCAGCATGCTTCTTCCTTCTTTCTCACTTTGCTTCCATCCTCTGGATCAAAGCTGCTTCATGCTGAGCTGCACCCAATGCCAAATGTTCCCTCCAGATTGGATGGGATTCTGAGGACTCCTCCCAGCTTTCTCCTTTGATGTTAAATGACTTCATATAATTTTTGTGGTACTCCCATAGAGGACGACCCTGCTTCCTAGAGCTCTCTCAAATCTTGCTGTCCAAAATATTCTTGGGGTTATGGTCTCCTCCCATTCTCCCAACATAGCTGAGCCACCTCCTCTCCTTGAGAGAGGTTTCTAAGTGTGTCAGTCCTGCATACTGCAGCACCTATATGTTTGGCATTTTGGCTTCCCACTCTGCTTTCAGGATCTTGCACAGACATCTCATGTGGAAGCTGTTCAGTCTTCTGATGTGCCTAGCATACGTAGTCCAAATTTCTAAACCATAAAGCAAAAACAACAGCATGCAAGTCTTGTAGGTTCACATCTTCACATTACTTGATAGCCCATGCACATTTCTCTAACAGTCCAAAATCATTAGCTGCTTTTTTAATTCTGTTAGTTCAGTCTGAAGGCCAAGATTCCTGCTGATTGCAGAACTCAAGTAGCCAAAGCGGTCAACACCACCAAGAGATTTACCTGCCAGAGTCAGGTCAGGCACTGGTTCTTCCACCCCTTGGTACATGATTACAATCTTCTTGAGACTAATTGTCAACATAAAACTCTTGCATGATGCATAAAATATGCTCAGGAGATTTTGCAGGGAAGATTCACTGTGTATGACCAAGGGTGCGTCATCCACAAACAGGACATCTCTCAGAATCACCTCTTTCATCTTGGGCTCTATTCTCCTGACAAAAGGTAAAACTCTAGTAGGAAATGAATGGAAACATTCATGAAGGGGACTTCTCAAACTATTTCCATTCACTTCCTTCTAGTATTTACCCTCTATCATCAGATTGGAGCCCTCCCTTGTGATCTAAATGCAGAGAGAATTATTGCACCATGAGATTATTACAATGCAACCACAAAATATGCCAGTACTCCTCAGCCATTTTGAAAGCCTCAGCTAAGATATTAAGTTTCAGAAGCTTGGCTGAAGGTAGTCAAATGACCAGATGTTTAGAAGTTCATTTTGGATAAGGACCCAGACATTCATATCCAATCTTATCCAGCCCAACAGCCCAATTTTGCTTAGCAAAATTTCCCACCCATGATTCATCTCTTTTTATAATTGATTTACTAATTATTTTACTTCAGTACATCTAAGCTATGGTTTTAAAAATTGCCAGCAATTTTAACCAAATTCAGTGTTATGAAGATAATATAAAAGTTGGTTCATAGAGGATGGTTCTTGACTAGTTTTTTGTAGCAACATTCGTATGTTATTGTTAAAATTAAAATACTTAGAACCCTTGCAGAAAGCTGACATAAAGCATCTTTAATAACTATAGTAATATGGATGTTTATGTCATAGAGGTGTAGCAGAACCAAGTCTCACCTACAAGTCCTTGGACACCCCCTAGTGGTCTTGTGGATCCTGCTTTGTTTCTGCTGTAGGGTGGCCTCCCTTTTTAACTGCTACACCTTTGTTGGACTAATTTAAATAGGAAAACAATAGGGCCCTAGAGCAAGCCTTAGTCTGTCTTCCTGATCATGGATCTCTCTCAGACTCTACTGATCATAATCCTGCCCTCACTCAAAGGTTGGGCCCCCTGGCCCATAAGTGCCACCCAGACTCCAGCTGCCTTATGAGTTATTCATGACCTCCAACTTCCCCTATAACCTTGCCCATGCCCCACAGGTGTTATAGCCTGTCACTTCCCTTTGTTGGGGCATCAGCTTTGCCAGCCTCCACCCCTTTTCTTTTGCTGGGCCTTCTAACCTAAATCTACCATGCCAGATCAGGCTTCCAAGCTCTAGCCTTCATCTTGTCCATCACAGCTTTAGCCTCACCTCTGTTCTTGCCCTATAGGCTCCTGGTCCTGGCCTTGTCCCTTTTTGGGCTCTTCAATTTTCCCCTTTTGGGCTATGGGTCCCTGACCCTGGTTCTTGCCCCTTTTGCGGTCTGAGTTTCACCCCTCTAGGGCTCTGGTCTTCCCCTCTAAGGCTACAGGCTCCTGGGTATTGGTTCTCACCCTTTTGGGGCTCTCAGTTTGCCCCTCTTGGATTACAGGCTGCTAGATCTGATCCTCACCCCTATCGGGCTAAATTCTCAACTTCTTGGGCTACAGGTCCCTGACCCTGGCTCTGCCTCCCTAGCACTGCGCTTCTGGCTCTAACTACATCTTGATCAGTGCCTGTGCCTTAGTCCCCCTGGCTTCAGACCACTACCATTACCTGGCTTTGGCCTTCCCAACTGCTGCCTGCCTGTGGTTTGTGTCTGTTCTGCTCCCCCCCCCCGACCCCTCGGCAGGGGCTTAACTGCAGCCATGTGCCCTCAGGCACAACTGGGACCTCTAACCTTCCCTGTTTGTCCCAAACCCAACAAAAGAATAAGCCCACTGACTATAACAAAAGCTTTAAGCACACTGGCAGTATAATTAAAACACTTCTCATCCCAGTGCTGAGGTCCTTGCAAGCCTTTAGCCACTTACTCCCAGTCCTCATTTCCACTGGTCCCAGTCAGTAGCTCAAGTTACAGCTATTTTGATCCAGAGCTCCTTCCCTGGCAGCCTTTAGGGCCTAACTGTCCACCCTGGCTCAAGCTCTGGGTTCATAGCACTGACCTTTCCTGTCGAGTGACTTCCTTGGGTTGGATACAGGTGTTCTTTAAGCGTACTTGCCAGCTTCACCGCATAGCAGCTAACGGCTGTTGTCTAGCTGCTGCAGCAGTGCCTAGCTTCCCATGCAGGGCTCTACCCAGCAGCCCCTGGGGACCTGCTCTTTTGAAGCTCCTAACAAGTAATCTGAGGCTCTCCATGCATTAGACTGGACATTAGAAAAAAGTTCTTCAAGGTCAGGGTTGCCAGGATATGGAATGGGCTTCCTAGGGAAGTGATGCTCACCCCATCCTTGGGGGTCTTCAACAGGAGACTGAACAGGCACCTGGCTGGGATCACATGATCCCAGGTTTGGTGACCCTTTTCTTGCCTGGCAGGGGCAGGGGTCAGACTAGATGGCCCACTGAGGTCCCTTCTGACCCTGGAATCTATGAATCTATGCATTCATTTGCCTCTCTTAGGGTAAAAGGGGCCCTAGGCTCCTGTTACAGAGGTTCACAGAGCCACAAGTAGCATAGTAGTTTCTAAAGGCAGGAAAATGAAAATCTTAGAAAATACAATGTAAAAACAAACATCCCAAAGAGTTAAAGAATAAAGTTATTGCAAGATGTTTTCTTCATACGAGCACAAAGATAAAATGCAACATAATGCAACTTGTAAATAAACAGATTGGGCAGTTTTGATCCTTGAAGGAGAAAATAAACAGAAAGAAAAATAGCAACGCAATGGGAGTTTCATCCAAATGGTGATAGCAGCACAGTTCAATTTCTGTTTCTTTCTAAAAAAACCCTTTCTTTTACTTTAAGCAAAATGCCTTGGTGATGTTTTCTATAGCAAGAATGGAGCAGTTTAACACAGAGAGCAGAAATCAAGCCTCTAATGGACCTTTCAGCACAGTGATAAAAAATGTATACAATTTTAGAAACAGCAGGCTTCAACATGGAGAGACAGATAGCCCAGTAACATAGAAAATGGCAGTAAACATCATTTCCCATAAAATATTCCAAGTATGAGGAAAGAAATAAAAATTGTTAACAGTTTTATTTAAAATGTTTAGTTTTGTGAATAGCATACAAGTACAATTGTTTTATAGGTCTTCGACAACTCCAGTTCTGGAAACCTTTACTGCTGTAAGCAGTCCTATTGTTTTCAACAAGTGGATTTTTACATGAATCAGGTTTGCAGAACCAGCCCCCTTAAGTATATATTTAATCTCAGTCACTTCACTAACCTTTTCATAAGAAGGGAATAATACCCAGCTACATTTTATTTTAATTAACCACTTCATCCACTTTTCTAAGTTATCTCATCTAGTTTAGTGCCATTTTCCATCCAGATTTAGAGAACACTCATTTAAAATGTCTTACAAGAGGCTTATAAAAAACACAAACTGCTGTGTTTCATAACAACAAATGTCTTATAACTAATGGTGTGGGACACTCCACTTAAAATTTGTAAAGCATCTGGAGAGTCTTCCTAAAATAAACTGATGTTTTGATGTGAAGTTAAGAAATTAGTCTTTGTAAATCCATACTTTAAAGCTGTTTGTTTGCTAAATATAAATTCGAGCTAATTTAACCTTCATTTAAATTATATGCATGTTATTACCATCATTTTGTAATTTAGCAATACAGTACTAAGGTTCTTCTGAAACTGTGGGAAGAATACATAAGACATCAAATGAGTTTTCACTACTTTGTTAAAATCCCTCTTTGATGTGAATTTGCCATTAGGCTTCATCTTTGATCATTTTGCAGTTTTCAGGCATCCTTGTGAAAAGGTGGCTGCAAGAACTGGAAACTCCTCCCTCCGTCCTTGCGTTCCAATAAGGCTTAAACTACCCTTCTATGTCTTGAATATCTTCAGAGGTCTCGTCATTGCCCAGTTCTTTCTTCTCAAGTCCATGCAGCTTCCGTTGTTATTTTTATTGGGTCTCAGGAACACTGAGCAGTCTTTTTTTTTAATTTTGTCCATCAAAAGATATTGCATCCCCACAGTCCTGACAGGATTTTCCAGAAAACAAAATGTGCTGTCCTCCAAATATCCAAGTTTTATTGATCCCTCAAATGTGCTCAAACACAATCATCATGTACAAGTGACAGAGCATACTGCAAGAGAGATTTCTCTTCACTGAATGCTAATCATGGTATGTTTTTGTTGCTATGGTATTAATAGATAATGATGGCTTCTTTCCTTATCTAGTAATAAATTTTCCATTATATATTGTACAGCACATTCAGCCATGAGTACAGATTGCTTGATTACTCTACAATACAGACATCATTTTGATAGATCATATAGTTACAAACTGCTGTATGGCCTGAGCTAGTTATTGTTTGGTGGGCTATGTGATACAAACCAGGTAAAAACTCACAAGTTTTTTTTGGAGGGATCCAGTGGTATAATTGGGACAGAGTGAATGAGGCAAGTGCCCTGGGCATCAATGGGGCAGTTGTGCTGGTGACAGCAACCAGAAGTCACCACTGCCCCTGGGACCCTGGTGCCTGGCTACATCCCTGCACTGCCTGGAGGGTTCCATAGTCTTATTAACTTATATATGACCCTTTTTCTCATTTTAGGACTGAAATGATACAACCTTTAACATGAGCATACACAAAGGGCACAAAAATAGTCGAAGGACTTCAAAATAATTTTTGCAGGTCTCAGTGCATGTGTGTGTGCAGGCATGCATGCATGTGTACTGCAACAGGGAACCCTAGCCCTGTTACTAGGAGACAGGGTGGTCTGGTCAAGTAGGGGTTAAAGCTCAAGCCCTACCAGCCGGTCAGGTGACAGGAAGAGGAAGGCCAGGATCCTACAAATGGCAGGTGGAGAAGGCCAGAGGGGCAGCAGGGAGGGGGACTCCCAATGACCACAGTGCTGCAGCTGCAGTTGCAGTCTCTGTCAGAAGACTACGGATGCTGTGAGCCATCCTCATGATCATCTAAAGTAAGCAGACATGTTGCCTCTCTTGTTTCTGTATTATCATTTTGTCCATTATATGGCCTTAGAAGCCTATGTTTTGTGTTGAATGTTAAGACTGGTGTTTTGGGTGAGGCTATATGGGGAAGGAGGAGGCCTCAGTGGGGGCCCACTGCAGTGTGGGGACCCCAGCATCAGAGAGGGAGTAATATTTGGGGGTGAGCAGACCCCAGTGCCACAAGATGCAGAAGCCTGAGTGAGTCTCCTTTTGAGAGCTAGAGCCTGGGAGTCAAACCCTGATTAGTGGGTTTTTTTGATTGACAGGCCTAGCTAGAGAGAGAAGGAGTAGACCCACAGTGGCCAAGACCCCAACATGAAGAGGAACTTACAAATACCATCTGCGAGGCTTGGGCTGTGGTGTAGAGGAGGAACGGAGCCACAGATAGCACCCCCTGGCATCGGGGCATACAACAGGCAGCCTCCGCTTAATTAACAACAATTAATTAACAACAAGGCATGGCAGACAAGAAGGTAGGCAGTTGGCCCATAACAGGTGGGCAGGGCCACCAGTAGATGGACCCTGAGCAGGACCCCCCCCTGTTACAGTACACATGGTATTTCACTGTGTCTTCAAAACAGAGTCAAAAAACAAGTGCCAAATACACCTTACTCAGAAGCAACTCCCACAGGTGAGGAGTAAGAATAGTTTGCATTTTTACCACTTTTCTAAGAGCATTTAAAATGTGAATTGTCACCCTGTATGGTCACCCCTCGTAAGCAGGCCACACACCCACTTCCTTATCAAGGCCAGTCAACTCTGAGGTCCAGGTTTCCGGCCAGTGGATTAGTGGATTTATTTTATTTATTTTTCAAGATCTAGTATAAAACATGACTGGCTAGAAAAACTTTCTTCGCACTTTTACCCTAAATGTATTCATGGGTAGTGCATTTGGTCATGAGGTAATATTGTCCTTTAGTCTTCTCCCTTTTTGGTGTATGCCATCCCAATTGTTTTAGATCATATTCCCTCTCAGCCTTCACTTTGTTAAGCTAAGCATGTCAAGCTCATAAAATAGGCTTTCTGTTCCCCCATTCTTCCTTTTAGCTCTTCTCTGCATCTGGACTAGTTTGAGTGCAATATTCCATATGTCCAATGCCTTATAGTTCTATATCTCCATTAGAAATACTTCACTTGCAGAATCACAAAAGTGCTTTTTCATGGATTAAGGAATCATCTTGGTGATTTACAGCCTCCTTGTAAGCAGATAATATACCCAGGTCTTTATCTTACTCTGTCATTTCTAGCTGATGAGCTCCTAGGTCATTATTGAAATTCATGAACTTGCACTTTGCACTATTAAATTTCTTCTTATGTCTGTTGCTCTTCTACTACAGTCCTCAAGGGCATCCAGTTCTTCACATATAATACACCAATGTTCCTTTGTACTAATGATGCCTCCCAATTTTGTGTCATCAGCAAATTTCATTAGCACACACCTACTTTTTGATGCTAAAATTACTACTGACTGTATCCTGTACTAAAATCAGTCCTTTAGGAAATTTACTTATAATATCACTCCAACCCAGGTCATCTCCTTCCAGCATAGCCCATTGTCATTTCCCCTTTAGCCAACTCCTTACTTACCTTAATATAGTTGAAAATTATAAGCATCTTCTTCAATTTAACCCATGTTTTGCAACGTGATACATCTGTATTTTATTAAAGTCTACCTACTATACTTTCTTTATCTAAAATATTATGAAAGAAAGATATCAGGTTAGTCTAGCATAAACTGTCTTCTGTAAAACCCCTGTGGCATTTCATTCCCATTTCCATTTATCTCCATGTTTTTAATTATTCTTTCCTTCTAAATGAAAGCCTTATGCACTACTGAGGTCAAATTAATGACCATTCCTGCCTTGACCACTTTTTCATATTTTCTTAAAAAATGAACACTACCTTTGCCAGATTTATTAGAAAACTTTACTGGACTTCAAATGCCATATGTAATTTCTTCCATTATTCTAGGATGGAGATAATTCAGTCCTCTCCAGTTTAAGCACAT